TGTTTCAGGCAGGTCAAGCAAACAGCAAGGAAGTGATTTATTACATATTTCAGACAGTGCTAGCTAAAAAATATGAAAACAGAATCATTGTAGAGTTTACCTTCTAAGGTTTACTAAGTCATCAACACTGTTATGCAAAAGGAACAAGTGCAGAAGTAGATTGTCTCTGTCCTCTTCCCCCACACAGTCTCATAGTTGTGAGGAGGAAGGAACACTCTGTCACCTGGAAGATCGTGTACTTCAGGTTAGTCTCTTCTAGTTGAGGGTCATTTCACCTCTCCTGGAATAAAAAGACATCCCAACAGTCATATTGTTCTGAGCATCCCAGACTCTACTTTGTCTTCATCAGAGAACAAACTCTGCACAAATAACAAGAAAGGTAGCTGGATCTCAATGCATTAACAACTCTGGTGGAATTAAGTCAAGACTTTGTATGTGGACCAAAGAAAAAAGCAAAAAACAAGGGAGTGCTGGTATAACAAGATGATGACAAATTTCACTGGTTATTTAAAATTTATGTTCTTGTAGCTCAGAGCAGTATTTGCCCCCAGAATCTTTAATCACAAGCAATATGACTTCATTCTTGTGCAGCTGCTTCAGCAGGTACTTACATACACAAAATAACAAATATCTTTAGCTCAATTATGGTGCTGAGTAGAATACTACTCTTTCCAGTTCTAAAAACTGTAGTAACCTGCACAGTTCAGATGTTTTCCTGGGTTTTGTTGTTTTTTTTTTTTGGTTGGCAATTGAAAGTTTCCACAAATGTATTTTAAGTTCATTTGTCCTTATCACAGTCTGCTCATTCACTTCTTGACACCTGTTGCAACTCTGGATGAAAAGTGTCATGAAGCTAAATGACAAATTTTAGTTCTCTAAGATTCAGTTCTTATCATCTCACCCAAAAGGGACAGAATTAACATTCTGGTGGCAGTACATGAGGCTGCTCAGCCTGCTCACCTCTGTGTCTCTTAATATTTCTGAACTACTACTGCACAGTCTTCTCAGGTGTACCTTGTTACATCTCCACTCTAGTGTTGATTCCCTTTTATCCATCTCTCCCTTTAGGCATTCATCTCCAAACCTGCCTGCCTACCTCCTTCTGCCTTTTTGAATTTATAGCTGCACTTTTAGAGTCTGAAGCAAAGGGTAGTGAGATGAGCAATTCTAATGCCTTTGATGTGATGGAACAGCAAGCTCAGCTGCCCAGCACAGTCTCTGCATTGCTGCATTCACCAACATGTTGCACAAGATTGCAGCTGCTTTTTCCACCTGTTTTTTGTCTGAGAATTAGCATCTTAATTCACAAACATGCAGGCAATTAATATGAGTAGAATGAAGCATGTTTGTAAGAAACCAATATTTTATCCTGCATGTGCTGGAAAAGACGTGCGACAGAAGACTCCCTGATGGTTCAAGTGTTCATTCTTAAACCTGATAAAGATGTGTCCAAACTCTTCAGACCTTGGGATGCTGAGATACCCAAACTACCTGTGAGTAAGAAGCTGCGCAAGCTGAGCAAGCTCCAAGCTTCTAGACAGCACAAGCAATGTCAAACTTGACCAAACTCAAGGATGAGGGGTTGGGGTTCACCCAGTCCTACTCTGGGAAGGGGAATGAAAGGTGTGGAGCTAGGTATCCTGGCAGGACTTGGCAGGAGCTAGGTATCCTGGCAGCTCCTTGTTCACACACCCACAGAGGGAGTGAGGAGGTGATTGCTGCTGCTTGAATAGTTAGCTGCTTCTGAGCAGTGCTGCCCTGCACGTGTGACTCCACTCTGTGATACAGGAACAGCCCTCACTTTCAATGGCTCTGTCACAGGCAAAGTGGGCAGCAAAACCACAGCTATGTTGCTGTTCCAAACAATCTGCTGCCAGAGGCAAGTGCCTGCTGGCCTAGAGAAAGGCCATGAGGAAAATGTGACTCACACAGTAAATCCACGATATTGTGTGTGGCTTGAAGTTTTCTAGCTCCTGCGCCCTCACTCTTGGAGCTGTCTGAGGTATCACCATTGCACAGCATATGACACTGCTGTTGTAACAGCTATTTCTTGTTCAGTGGTGGGCAGCGGCTGTACTTCACTGGAACCCTGGAGCAGTGCATGCAGAGTCTATATATTTACAGCCTTAGGAACTTGCAGTTCCCTCAAGTGGAAAATCCATGTTATTCAATGTGGTTTACACAGTTTCAGTGCAAAAGAAATTAGAACCCTTCCTTCCCTTTGACAGCTATATCCACACTTTACTATTTTCTACGTAGCTTTTTCCCTATGATTTTCTTTACAGAGCTATCCAGCACGAAAGATAAAATGCAGACCAGAAAAAAAGGAGAACACTCTTAGACCAGTTTTTGGTTTAAGAATAATGAAGCTTGGGATTTGAGAAGGAATGTTACACCCTATGCTGCCTAAGGGAGAGTGTTTGCACTTACAAGGGGCAGGATGGGAAATGAGGCACTTGGGAAGGGTAATAGCAAACGAGAAATGGAATTAGCAGAGCCCAGGCAGTGAAGAGGAGTGACAGGTGATGAGTCATGCCAGCAGGAGATGGTTAGAGAGGAGCCTTACAGCCAGGACACAGGCTTTGAAAGCCACCAGGATGAGGGTTTGGGGTCAATGATGGGTCTGAAAGTGTGTGTGGAGAAAGAGTAAAGGAGAAGTGGGATATATAAGCCCTGCTTCTGAGAAGATACATTGGGTTTAGCAGAACACAGGTAACTCCAGAATATATTCAACCATGTGATCTGAAATATAACTGTATGCAAAAAAAAAAAAGTGTTCCCTGCTCTATAATCTGCAGTGTATCAAAATCTAGTAAAATACATACATATATGACTCTACTATCAAAGTAAAGATTTAGGAACTGATTGATAAGTCTAGGCAGCAGATCTCCTGCTCTCCCCCACCAGTTGCGATCACTCCAGTAGCAGCAGGGGTATTTTAAATCACCCTAACAATGAAGATGGGCTGGAGACAGTAAGCAGGCTGTGCACCAGAGAGGCAAGAGTACAGATCCACCTTGTCCTGCCACGTCTTTCCTGGCAGCAGCAACTGTGAGCAGAGGCATGAGAAACTGGAGGTTTCAACACCTGGACAAGACCCAGCGAGACCCAGCAGAACCCGGGGATGAGAGCCCTTGGGTCTGGCATTTGCAGTGTGATGTCTTAAGTGTTTAAATTAAAAATTATCAGAATTATGGATATAAAATGTCAAGTCATGCCAAGTTAGAATGTGTGATTGGTATTTTATTAATGTTTACAGTGATTTATAAATAACAGCATCTCTTCTGCCACTCATCTGTCAAGAAGTCTCCTGTAGTATAGTCTCACGTAGAAGTAGGGAAGCTATAGTATTTTAAGATTTTGGGGGGGCAAAATGGGAAACAGAGGTATTCAGGGTGCTACATTGTATCTCCCTGCTCCACCATAACCCTCACACACACATGCCTCAATAAATTTGTGCTGTGGAGCTGTAATTCCATTGCGGCTTTTTGATGTCCACTCAAACAATATTAGCTTTTCTGTCATGTTTTACAATGTAAAAAAAATTGGTGAAAATGTCAGCAGGATGGTATCTTTAATCATATTTATTATCGACCTAAGAAGCTCAGTGCAATTTCACTGGAACCCCTCAATGCAACCAGGCTCAGGCTCAATTCCTAGCATTGCCTACAGCCCCAGTTTCATGAGTGCCTTTCATTTCTAGTGTCCTTGAAGCCACTTGACTTCCCTGATGTTTCTCTTTCATCCCCTCCTTATTACAGCTAATACAATATGCTATGTAGCTAGAAATGGTTCCTCATGGGTAATATGAGGGTTTAATAGGTAGTATCTCAAGCAGGAAATGCATCTGTTCACTAGTGTCTGCAGTTTGCTGTTCTCTGGCCAGTCCCATGAACTGACAGCAATATTCAAAAACCCTGTGCAGGTATTGCTAATCCTATTTATGAATCGGTTTTGTCGTCGTTGTTCTCATTGCAGTTAAAAGCTAAATGTAGAGCCTACAAGCCCAGCTCATGAAATCGCCAGGAACATTTTCAGGGCAGCAAACTGAAGACGCTGCAGCGGCAGTTGGTGGAGCCCAGCGGCTGGCTGTTACGGCCCCAGATGGCGGACAAAGGGGGGTTCTGTAGGACACTTCACGCAGGCGGCAGCCCTGTTGTGGGTCCAGGCGAGGAAGCCAAAGGCCGGTGGCCTCTGCACAGCCTGGCCCCCAAATCCCTCTGCTGTCGTCCAGCTGCCCCAGAAGAACATCTTCCCAGTCTCACCCCACAGCTAGAGTTTGTTGCCTGTGTCCAGCAGCTGGGTCAGCATCACCCGGAGCGGTGCAAGACGGATGTGATGATGTCCCGCGCCCCACTTGGCCACCGTGGCCACCCTCGGGTGCTCAGAGACTGGCGCTCGGGGCCATGGATGAAGGACTGGCTGCGGAGGCACCGAGCAGCGGCCCCACGATCACACAGAAAAGACCCGCCGACCCCACACAGCCCCAGGCCCACGCTCTGCCGTCGGGCTCGCGCTGGGCTCCGAGCAGCGCCGGGCAGGACAGGGACAGGGGCTCCCCCTCAGCGGGGAGCATCGGGGAGGGGAAATGGCGGCGCCTGAGGCGGCTGCACGCCGGCGGGACGCTGGGCTAGGGGCGAGTGTGTTTGCCAGTGGCGCGGGGTGCGTGTGAGCCGGGGCTGTGCGAAGGGTGGGCTCTGTGTGCAGTGTCTGTGCCGTAGGGCGAACTCTGTGAAGGGAGGGACCCTGTGCTGGGCAGGGGGGAACTCCACGGCTGAGGTGGGGTGAGCTGGGGGGGGAAAGCAGCGTATGGTGGGGTGCAAGGCGCGCGTGTGCGCCGGGAGGTGCGCTGTGCCTGCCTGTGTGTCAGTGTGTATGTATATGTCTGTGAGAGCGCGGGGAGGCGCGGGGGGGGGGGTGCAGGGGCGGGCCAGAGGCAGCGGCGGAGCTGGCCGCGGTCCAGCCCGGCGCACTAATACAGCCTGGCGGCTCCCGCCTGACTGACGCCGGCCGGGGCTGCTGCTGCCGCTGCCGTTGCCGCTGAGCCCTGGGCCAGCCGCCGCCGCGCAACTGCAGCCCCGCTCCAGTCCGCGACACGCCGATACCCCATCCCGCGCCCGGTGGTGGCAGGTAAGAGACGGGGCTCCCGGCCGCGTCCCGAGGGAGGGCGAGGAGCCGGGGGAACCGGGGACAGTCCCCCAGCCGCCGCCCCAAACTTCCCGCCGGGGCTGCTGCGCATCCTTCCCCATGCGGTGTGGCGCGGGGTCCCGGGGCGGCGGCGGCCCTCGTCATTCCCGCCGTATGCCCGGTGTCCCCGCGGCGTCCCCGCGGCTGGCTTCTCCGCTGCGCTGTGGCGGTCGGTGTGCGGGCGGGGGCTGGGGCAGTAGTGCGATGAGACAAGCCGACGCCAGGGCTGCGAGCGAAAGGAGGAGCGCGGGGAAAAAACGTTTTTATGGATGGCTAAACGCTGACAAGTCTTCCCGCTGTTCGGGTTTCTTGCCTTCTAATTTAAGTAGGAGGAAAAAATAAAATCCAAACCAACAAACCCAACAAAACCCCACATGACACGTTTGGAAATACTTTTCCTTTCAGAGGTTATTTTGTATTCAAGAAATCCCGCTCCTGGACACGCTCACAAGCAAAACGGAGCAGAATTGCTGGGATTTGGTTTTGTATTCCAGATACAAACGGGGACTCTCTTATTCTTCGCTCCGAAGTTTGAACGTTACTTGTTAGCAAGTATCCAAAATTTCCAAAAACAATAGCCCTCGATATGGAAATTATGAATTATTGTCATTTTATCTCCATGTCCAGGTAGCTCCAAGTGGAGGGAATACAAAGTTCGGATCATTTCTAACAATTCGGATACTGTGCAGTAATTTTGTGTTTCCCTGCTTTGCTTTTATGGGTAAATTTATTTGACGCTAACCAGGTCTACTTTAAAGAGGCATTGGTGGGAATAAAAATAAATGACACACACGTGGATGTGTGCACACACGCACGTGTGTGGCTGTTAATTGTTTGCATTTTATAAATTAGTGCAAAGAATTTTCAGCCCAGTGTGGTCAACTTTTCAGTGAATGAAGCTGGGCAGAAGTGGGAAATGATGTGCTCAGCTCAGGAATGTATTCGAGTTTGTGGTGGTTCGGGAAGGACACTGCAGATAACACAACTTTCGCTACTTTGTATCTCCAGTGTGTGGAAATGTGCATCTTTATGCATGCATACATGCATTTGTGCAGTGGAGTTACCTTCTCATCTTCAGGAGTGTAAGCTGAAGAAAGTGCTGCAGAATTTTTCCCCTCAGCAATGGTAGGACAAATGTCATCACTCAGACAAACCTCATCCGTTTTAATACAGCTAGACAACTCCCTTCTTTCAGATTTGATAAGTACCAGTGTCTGGCTTGTTCATGTTTGCTTCCTGTTGGATTTTAAAGAAGAGGCTGGGGATATCTGTGGTTTGTTTGTTGATTTTTTTTAGTTGTTTTTAATATCGAGTTAATTTGACATAGTAGCCAAAACAAATGTGCCCAAAAGTCTATTTAAAGTGAGTTGCATCAAGAAGGATATCTTGTGTTGCATTTACTGAGTTTGGCAATAGTTCCCATTCCCATCTGTCCTTTGGGATGGAGCTGAAAACGTTTTCTTCTTCACTTTGTTAACTCGCACATAAACTGATAAAGAGTAATTCCACAAAAATGCCTGGAATAAGGGTCAAGTGTATTTTATCAAAAATGCTTATGATAATCAGGATTTGTAAACTGGTATGAGTTGGAGATAAAAGCTTTTACCTATGTGCAGCAACTGAAATGAATACTCACAAAGCTGTCAACTGTGCAACTTTGTGAAGAAGTCGAGTATTAATATTTTATCAACACATTTGCCCAAGGCTAAGAGGCACACACACACATGCCAAATATCTGCAGAAGGTGGGGATGCATGTAGAGAAACTGGGTAGCTCCTGGGGTTTGGAAGGTGCTCTTACACAAACTGGTGGTAGTTCCTCCCCACTCCCTCCCCCCCCGCTGCCTTCAATAGGCACAAGACAAGGCCTAACCCACTAAAACAGGAATGTAGAAGTGTCAATATAATGAATCACATAACATCTGGACAGTTAATCCTCCTTTCTCTCCTTTTATTCTTTTACAGACTTTCTGCATCTTGCATTTGAATCCTTAGCTATCTGCTGTTATCAGCCCAGGAGATAGTGTTTCATGTAATCCTGAATGCTAAAGTGCTGTAATTTTGATGGCCAGGCTAATCTGTCTCTATAAAGTTTTATTTTTCCATTGTTAAATTCAAAGGACAATGACTACTAATTATGAGTGACCTCTAACCAAAACACTAGTTTGAGTTTATCAGTGGTGCTGATACTGGCTCACAGTAATTCCACCATCAGCAGTTCTAGGCACCCTGTTTCAAAGAAATTTAACAGAATAAGGGGAGGCAGAAGGGAAATGCTCTGGGTAATTTGCTGCAAAAAAAGTAGAGTGAAAGTGTACAGAGATTCCATTTGCTGTGCACTATGCCCCTTACAATTAATAATTGCAGGGATGGGGAAGAAAGACAAAAAACCCCAATCATAAATATTTTAACTGAAAACAGCACAGCACAAGCATACATAGGAAAGGTTGTTCTGGTAGACTGCCTGGTTTCCTGCTGCAGGCAGGTATAAAGAATCATTAGTGTTACTGTACATTAACAGCAAAATATAGTAATAGCAGTGACAATTTGAGAGAATCATAGATGTCCTATTACTGTCTTTGAGAACATTTGTTGCAAGGAAGCATTAGACTCTGAATACAGTATAATAAAATTAATTTTTCAAAAATATCCCAAATTATTTCCCATCTTATGTTTTGTCTGTAATGTTTGAGTGGTTAATGCGGTGGGAATTTTACAGACAAGGAGGTGAATTAAAGAGTCTAGAGCCCTGTGTATTTATTATACCACCTGAAAACCTTGCTGTGCTTTTGCAGATGAGTGGATCTAACAGACTGAGGGGTCAAAGCCCAGACTGAGATTCTGACTAATACATGCATGTGTTTAAATTGAAGCAGGTGAAATACCATGTGCCCAAATTTTATGTGATTTTTAGACAGATCGTTCTGCAGCACCATTTTCAGGTTTCTGCAAGAACTATTGCAACATCTTATATGTAAGGCTGAACAGTTTGCTCTGAGATTCAGCTACTCTGGACAAGGGCATAGCAAGGAGATGGTGGAGGTGGACACAGAGTGGAGTTAGTTTCTCAGTTTACACAGTCACCTCTACATAAAAACACAAAACGAAGAAAATCTGATAATCAATTTCAGTTTTTCTGAGACAGCATTATGATCGAGGTGTGTTTCTGACTGGGAGGAGAAATGCTTTCTCTTTCCCACATCCTTTGCTCTAGAACTTGTTTCCTTCCCACTCTTCTTCCTTGTCTGTAGTATCATCATCCTTCCCTTTGCCAAACTTAGCATCATCTTTACCTCTTCTGTTTCCTCACAGGTCTTGGTACTCCCAGATATCTCTTGACACTTTTTCTTCATGTTAGTTCTTACATTCCTCCTTCCTTTTGTTTGTAGCTGCCAAAGCATTAGTCCACACTGTGGCAACCTTCCAGCTTGATACTGCAACCTCCTGTTTCCCAACGAGCTTTTTTTTCCCACCTACGTTCTGCTCCCAGTCAGCATGACCCCTGCCAAAATTCTGCGTCTCTTGCTTTTCTTTCTGAAATGCCTCCATGCAGACTCCCATTCTGGAGTCTCTCTGTATGCCTCGTCTTTGTTTAGGCTTTGAAACTGTTCCACACTTCCAGAGTTCCCCGGAACTGCTGGCCTCAAACTGGCCCTCCACTGAAAGAGAGAAATGAGGAGGAAAGAAAATTAACAGATCCATGGATCATTACAGTTTGTTCTGCTTTAGGCTTCCTTTCACCCTCATTACGTGGCTACAGTAGAAGTCAAATTGGTCATTTCTTGATCATGGTTATTCTGTTTGTTTGGTCTGCTGGTGCCCTTAGTCATGCAGCTGTGCTGTGGGGAACTAGTGGTGGTACCCTCCCCAGAAAGCTGTCTCTGCTAATAGCAAAGCTCTGTGTGATGAATAATCCTTTATAATGTAATTAATGCTGCTGCTGAGGTCAATACATTTCAACAATACTTTACTTATTTATTTTTTGCCTGTTTTTGTGCCCTATCTTTCCTTGACAAACCTTTTTTTTTTTTTTCTTTCTTTTTTGAAGCGTTCTTGTGCATGGCTCCTCATCAGAAGATCTCATAATGCTTTACAGAGCTGTCCCAGTCAGGGTACCTGTATGACAGATGCAGAAATTGAGGCACCCAAGGGAAAACCATTTATTCAGAGGCCTGTAGCAGGATGCGATCCCACAGAATTGACTGGAGGCACAGGCAGTCCATGTGGCTTTTCAGACTCCCTTATGGTTACTTGCTGGGCTATCCAAACCTTGTTTCTGTCAAATTACTCTGACCCAGCTGCCAATGTGCAGTTTCTTACCCTGCAGCACATATGAGGTAGCTAATTTATCTCACTCTCATCAACAGATCTTGAATTACTTCACATAGAGCGTAAGGCCTTCACAGGGACATCTATAGCAGAAAAATACAAATTCATTCCTGAGTGAGGCAGCAGCCTGCGGCTCCCATGCCTGCCCTGCTGCAAGTCCTAAAGGGCTTGATGCTGGGACCAAGGTTTCCTGGTGGTAAGCTGCATGGGATAGACAGGCTCTGCAGGGGCAAAGCTGAGTGCTAGCAGGAGAGAAGGAGAGAAGCAGCCCTGAAGAGATAGGGTATGTCTTGGACTCCTGGGTTGGGTTTGCAGAAGAGAGAGATGTTTCTTTTAAAGACTCAGAGATCTACTTCTGCCTTTTGCTCAGTGTTTTCTGAATCTGGTTGTTAGCATGACATGTCATCTTGCAGGCTAAAGAGAATCCAGCCCTCGTTTTGTACTCCAGGCTCAAATGTAGCTGTATGAAGTCTGTTTAATCTCATAAGCAAGTGTTCTGGTTTACAGAGAAGTTGAGCACCCACATTTTCGGCTGAAGTCGCTGGGAATGGCCAGCTGTTTCCTCTTTTTCCCCCACAGGAGGGAACTAGATAGACAAGTTCTTGCTCCTTTTGT